CATGCAATAGATCAGATTTGAGGGTTTTATGTTTTTAATGGAGACAATGGGCCAAATGAAATAAGACATGTTTTTGGTTAATCAAAGTGTCTTGGCAGCCAAAAGAGATTTTAATTCAGCCGCTTTCTCTAACTGTTTTTATCTTCGCTTACAAAGCTTTTGGCTAATGACCAGTGCTTTATCAAGGCTGAAATGGAGAGGAACAGGGAGGGAGCACATTGCAGGCCCATGTGAGGCTTTTCTGTATATTAAACCTGTGCTAAATCAGACAAAGCACCAGGGGCAACCCAGATGCTCCATTACTTGTCTGTATGTTTATTATTTGTCCTTAGGTATTTTATTTGCCTTCAAATGCTCACTTGTTACTTGAAATATTGAAACGTAAGACGTAGCTGTCAGAGTGGGATAATGTAATAAATCCTAGAACATAAAAGGTATGATTTTGCTCACATTTAATTATTTTTCAGTTTATTCAACACCCACATCCCTTGTCATTGTTGTTACACTTGCTGAGCATGATTTGCCAAACACCATAACGGACAGATTGCATCTCTCTGGTCTGAAAACTTTTGCCTTCACACTGAACAGCCTCTTTACTGGCATGGAGGACTTTTTGTTTTTCGAAGTCAAACCTTGTTTCCTGAAGATGAAGCTTAAAGGAAACTAGCTTTTGAGGTTAGCAAGCAGCAACATAAGGACAGATGTACTTTACTGAGTGGGAAAATAACTGATCCGCAGTGCTTTTCAAACTGCTTATGTTTATATATACACATATACACTCACACACACGCACCACAAAAGGGTGATGCCGAAGAAATGAACAAACATTTAAAAATTCTAAATGGTGGCACCCACCATAGTCAACACTTTTAAAAATAAAGGTTTCATAAGGGGGTTTATAATGATGCCACCGAAGAAACAATTTTGGTTCTCCAAAGAACTTTCAGTGAACAGTTCTTAAAAGAACCTCTTTTTTTCTTATTTCTTAGTATGAAGAACATTTTAATAATCTGAAGCACCTTCTTCCACTATAAATAACATTTTTTGCAATGGAAAGTTTCTACGGATGTTAAACATTCTTCATGGAATCATAGATGCCAATAAAGAACCTTTAGTTTTATGAGTGAAGTGTTTCTCACAAAGATAGCCTACATGATTAATACGATTGGCCCCTTACCTGCTCCTATGTAGAAAGAGATTTCCCCCTGATTTGGATGACAAAGATGTTGATAATAAAAGGAGATAAGTAGTTGGTTTAAACTGACAGGTTCAATGTGCTTAGTCCTTCAGATGCGCCATATATTACATTGATATGCATCTTACTGTCAGCATGCCTCTATCTACCACCATACTTATCTCTATACATATTCCTCTTACACATAAGTGACATTGTGTAGTGCTGAAATTACGAGACCTGTCACTCTGAGGTCACATCAATTTAAATGTCTACACGCAAGCATCGAATAAAAAGAGCAAAGTACAGCACAATATGAAACACGGTACAAAAACTGTGTGTTTTTTTACACCCGTTTTGTTCCTAAAGTAGGTTGTCTTGCTCATAACATTAGCAGAAAGGCACGTCTTTTAACTACTCAAAACACCCATCTGAATTCCATCAAATATTTCTGGAATGATTTGAGACTATCACAGGTCATTGCTAATATGACAGAGCTTTAAAGACTCTTCAGTGTGTGCAAAGTTAGGTTACGATATCTATAAAAATAGATGGTTTTCATCAAAAGCATCTGTTGTCTTTTTTTAAGTTATGCTATTCAGTTTTTTGCAATCTTTTTTTTAGTTATTGCGAGGTCTGCTTTTTGTAAATAGCAGTATATTTAATTCTCTTTTGGGCTTTGAATACTCCAATGTGTCATCCTTATGGTGCTTCTATGCAGACATATCTTCTCCATCATGTTCTGTCAGCTCTCAGTCACTACTGTCAATAAAAGTCTAATACACACTGTTGGTGACTTTCCAAATGTACATTTAAAGAGCTACCAATTTCCCCACAATCTGCATTGTAACAATAAAACTAACATGTTGTGACCAATTTGATGTGCACTTTACCTGTGTTATTTCTCTAGGCACCAGTATCTCACCTCTGACGAGGGCCGTTGTGCTTTGGTCTGTCTTCTCTTAGACAGTACTGGCTGACTGGCTGGCTGGCTGTCAGTACGCTGTGTTCCAGATAATGATTGCACTTGGTTCTCAAACAGACTATGCTGCAGCACTCCATCAGCTACACCATCTGACACATCTGCTTGCTGTAAACATTTTTTTGAGACATTTTATAACCCCCTTTTCTGCTCACACAGAATAATTTCCTTTCCTGCAAAAGTCCATTACAAGAATTATTTTTAGCAGCACCTCCAGACCCAACCACCCAAATCAAATCATCAGAGAAAACTGTCATCCAAAAAATCCACCCAGAATGATAGGTCTGATCACCTCCACGCATTATGCAATTTGCATGATATATCAACCAACTCACGTCTTCTTTATTTAGACTTTGAGATGTTTGTGACCTTTACCATCATATTAACATACTGTATTTCAGATAAAAGAATGGAAGAAAAAATTATTGAAGTATAAACTCAGCAGGCCTCTTCTGTTTCAGCAATGACAACACTCCCATCAGGTGGGTGTAATGATGCAATACATCAAAAATCTAAGATAAAAGCATAAGCAGCCACAACATCTACCTTTAAAAAATTGCAAAGTTATAAAATAGCAACAAAAAAATGATCTACGTCAAGATTTTCAAAGCTACAATTACATCTGATGTAGTCAGACTCATTGCAAGAGGTTAGAGGTATAGTTCACCAAAATAATGATATTGCAGACATGTATATCTTTCTTCTGCTCTCTCTCTCTCTCTCTCTCTATTCATTCCAAAATGGGGCTTTCACAGCAATGCCATAGAAGAGCCATTTTCAAGAACCAAAAACATTTCAGTGAACAGTTCTTAAAATTATTATTATTTGTTTCGTTGAAGAACATTTAAACAATCTAAAGAACCTTTTTCTACTATAAATCACATTTTTGTGAATTGGATTACATAAATGTTAAAGGTTTTTCTTGGAACAATCAATGCCAATTAAAAACCTTTATTTTTAAGTGTAGCAGAATGTCCAAGCTGCTCATTTTGTAACAGTGTAAGTGGATTGGGACCAGTGACATTTCATTGTGACAGATGTTGGGTATCGAAACCCGGTTCCATTTTAGAACCGGTTCCAAATTTCCAAGAACCGGGTATTCGATAAGACGCGTGCATTTCGATCTTGCTTAACGATTCCTGCGTTCGCATTTTAATGTGATTAAAAACGATTTTGTTAAAGAGACAGCAGCCTAATAAAAACGCTGCCTGTCATTAATGTTAATCAAAGAAAAAAAGAAAATCATTCACTGATCTTGACTGAATATATTTAATAACTTTAATTGATTAATCTATATTTTATTTATGAAAAGAAAACAATGCAGTGTTTTTAAACTTTTAATTAGTTTCTGTACCTGAAATTTTGTTCAGTTGTATTTATTTATGATATTGCTAATTGATTTGTTTGTTCCTATCTTATTACTGACTGTTTACTTGTCTTTAACACTTTAATATTTGGAATTTATATTAATCTAGCTGTTTTTGCTGTGGTATTTTTTTTTAAAGCATAGGCAATATTCCTCTTGCAGTGATCTGTAGGCTGCTGATTTTTGCTCGTGTTATTCAGCTGCAACAGAATGCTTTGTAAAAAGACAGAATAAATGTTTGACATCTAAATGTTTGACTTAATTTTTTTTATATTGGATTTTTTTATCTTATTGGAATCGAAACTAATAATCAATAAGAATCGGAATCGTTAAGCAGAATCGGAATCGATAAAATTCAAACGATACCCAACCCTAGTGACAGAGCCATTTTATTTTCCAAATATTTTCAGTTTCTTTCAGAAAATACATGCTCAAAGTGACAGGATATATAAGACCTTTCTTTGAATGCCTTATGTCAAAAGACAACTGTACTGGAAAATTTTAAAAACAATTATCACAAGAAACATCACATACCATGTGGTATTTTCACTTACCACCTATTAATGAATGACCTCTGCAAATACATATTGGAAACTAAATTAATTCTTATTTTCATAAAACATGCACAACGAGCATACGTAAGGACACTTGAAACAAGGACCACTTCAAGAGCTGAAAGGCGTCTTTGAAGAGGATGACTTTATGGTTACTGAGAAAAGAAATTAAGATACGGCTTTTTAAATCCTCTAATGTTTGACATTAAAATCATTTAAAGGTTCTCAAATCTCAATTGCCTGTAAACAATTGCCGGAGTAATTTTCTTAATTTTGTCAAACCATTTACAGCTTTGGTTCATGGTGCCATTAAGACACTAGTCTGAATGACATTCTCAGTAATGGCAGCCAGTGATGTCTGCATAGGCAGCAACGTTCTACACAACCATAAGTGAATGTGCAATTCATACAGGCAGTGTAATATAATGTGATCTAATCAGCTTGATGTCTTTAATAAGCATTCAGCAAATTGAGTTTATTCAAACTTTTTTTTAAAGGAATAGTTCACCGTAAATACTTCACATTATTCACTCGCCCTCATGTCGTTCCAAACCTGAATTACTACTTCTTCTGTTTTACAGAACAGCATGACTAATTGATCACAGAATATCATTTTTGGTGTAAACTATTACTTTAAGTAATCACTGCATCCATTCACAATGGATCCTTTTTACAGTCTATGAGGGTGTGCTGCTTGTACCTCATTACGATTCAAGATTTTAGATTTTCAAGGGCTTAGTATTAATTATCATCTCATTAAGTCTGATATAACTCAGAAGTGATATAGATATTATGAACCATATTATGAACAGCGTTTCACTCTTAAATGAAGATTACATTTTTTTGAATCTCCATCTTATCCCAGGATGAATAAACAGTAGTGACCAAATGATATTCAGAGGGGGGAAAATATAATTTTATTGTTAAGAAATGCATCAAGAAATCCTCAGCAAACTTTTGACCTGTTAAATTATGTATTCATGCTACAGAACAAAACCTAACAGCAGCTGTGTGGGCCGTTCTAATTTATTTTGTGTTTTGTGCTACGTAATGAAAAAACAATATTCTAACTCTCATAGTATAGCAATGAAAATTAAACACTGAGGGATTTTTATTCATTTTTTATTTTGGGAGTGTGATCCCGGTATAACAATATGTAACATTTACAAACTGTTCCCTCCAAACGCAAGTCTCCTCTTTTTTTAATTAAACCTTAAGTTGTGGGTTGTAACCTGAGGAGACACAACATGCACAAAACTGTGGATTGGGGTTTGACAGAATATAAGGTTTATCTGATGCAGTACTTACAAAAACTTAGGAATATGAGCAAAACAGCAGTCAGTGGTTAATGTTTGAAAATGGAAGGGTAATTTAGTATTTGTTAAATGAACATCAAAATATAATCAGCCTTGTTACAGAGAATGCAAAAAGGCTAAAGAAATGTTAAATACCACATTTGATTTGGTTAATGTTGGCATCCAGCTTGATTTTAATGTCCTCATTGTCAACCCACTCATCATAAAAACTGAAACTCTAAAAGAATCAATTAAAAAAGGCACAAGGTCACACACCGGCTGCTATTTTGCATGTAAATTGATAAAAAATGTTAATGTTATGCATTAGAGCAAACAAATTCAAGAAAAACATTCAAAACACTGACAATAGTCAATAACAACACGTTTCAAGATTTGAAGAAACAAAGGTTTAAAACAAAAAATGCACAACAGTGAACTACATCTATTTAGTAATCACTGTCAAACCCATAATGACCTTCACCAGTACATAAGCAAGAAAAACAATGAGTGCGTTTTATGAATATTTAGTGTCATGCTCCAAATTCCTCAGTCTGTGATGACTGTACGCCCCCCAAACCACTGGACGTTTTCAATCCGGGGTAGTTGATTGAATTAAAATCAATGACAATCCTGCCTTGCTTTGGCTTGAATTGCCTGTAGGACAGAAATAAGAACAGAAAAAAATATATCACTGAAGCATGACCAAATAAAACATAGTTTGTCACTCCAATCAAATCTGAGCCCTCCTTTTAAAATACCTTGATAAAAGTGAGAGAAAGAGAATTCGCTTCTTGTCCTCATTGTCACACTAGTAATTCACCTCAGCATGCTGGAGTTGAGGAAACCAATAACACACTAGACCTCATGAGAGAACACAAGCAGTAACCCCTCCATAAGGCAATCCCAGCGGGGACCAAGCGCCCCAACATCTCATAAGAAAATACACTGCCAAGAAGAACCAAACTAGCAGGTGGTAAACTCCCGATTTTCCCCACTTATAGCCTTGTCTTCTGCGACTGCTCCACAAACCCTGCTTTTCTTTTTCTTTTTTCCCTCTTCTTAATTCACCTTCTACCCCACTCTTTTTGCTCTTCATTTGTTTTTGTTTTATTAATCCCTCACTCTCAGTGTGAGATGAGCTGGATGTAGCAAAAATCTATTCCTCATCATCAAACCTCTATAACAATAGAGGCTAATACAAATACAATCTCTACTGACAGCAAAAGTATTCAAAGACTTTGTCCACGAACAACCACAAAGCTTTGTCTCTCGCTTCCCCATGTTCCTTAATGCAAAGCCGGCTTCAGTGAATGTCGGAGCAAATCGATTAATCATCTCATTCAGAATTAAGAATGCAGAATTCTGCACAGCAACGGTGAGGTTTCAATAACACCTCTGTCCATCCTTCATTCCCTCTTCATATGCCACTGAAAAAAAAAAACCACCTGAAAACAGCCTACAGCAGTTCACTGTTCGAGTCAAAGGACAAAACTGTGCATATTTAAAAATATAAGAAAATAGAAAGATTATGATTATGCAAGCTAAACATAAAAAAAAATACATATATATACACATACACACATATATATATATATATACAGTGGGTACGGAAAGTATTCAGACCCCCTTTAATTTAACACCTTTAATTATATTACAGCCATTTGCTAAAATCACGTAGTATGAGTGACGCAGACAGCACACATAAACACAAACACATGCTGAAATGAGTGCTGTGCCTGCGATGAGGAGATTGTGAATAAAGAATGAATATTAGTCGAATTTAAAATAAACATTTGCAATGTTAGGTGTGCATCAGGGAGCGTAGCGTCATCAGTGGCACGCAAAATGCAGGATTAAGCAATGCATAAATACATGATGCTGTTTTGTTCATAATTGTTTACGCAATTTACTAAATTATATTTGATTTTTATGAGTTAATTTAGACGTTTAGAGAAATATAGAAGCTCAATGCGGAGAAGATCTTGATTAGGTTAAAACCGAAACCAAGCCATTCACACAGAACGCATATTCAGCGCATTTTTTTTAGTCAGACAAATATGACTGCTGCACTCGCGTCTCACAAGAGATGTATAGAAAGCCATGTAAAGTTAAAACGGTTTAAACTTTTAGAAAACACGTCACGAATTGGTGGAGGTTTATTCCATTTTACATCGTCTCATATGTTTTAAACGCAATCTGTTTGAATGGCGCTTCGGCTCTTTGGATTAAGCAATGCATAAATATTGTACAGTAAGAAAGTTATTTCCTTTAACCAGGAAATTAACGTTCTTAGAATTGACAGACAGTTGACCCTGAGAGGTCAGCTAAATATCTACAGCGGATCTAAATATTTATAATTAATTATAACTAGTTATGATTAATTATTCATATTTCCCCATGAGCTGATTCGCTACATAATGCACGTTTTTTACAGTTACTTCCTTGAATTGACCATTTAAATGCGCTGCATTATTTTGTTCATTGTGCCCTCCTGTGGCCTCGGGAAACAAGCCAAAAGTTTCCTCAAGACCTATTTAATCTGCATATAAAACATAAGAAATTAGATATTTGTTTAATTTTTATTTTGTGTTTGATTGTTAAAACAAAAAATATGTGTTGTTTGTCTCAATAAATTGGGTTCATTTAAAAATACAGTGGTTAAATTTAAACACTTTTTCTATTGCTCTTTGTTTTAAAAAAGGTTATAAAAATGTCAATAATTATCGATACCAAACGATATGAAACATTATATCGTTGATAAATTTTTTTATCTATATCGCCCAGCCCTTAAATATCCTATAGCTCTGCAATCAAAGAGCCGAAGCCATGGAAATGCAGAGATTCAGCAGGCCAAATTCACAGTAATGCTGGAAGTATTGGAGAACAACCTTCAAAAAGTGGCAGCAGGGGAATTAACCCTGCTACCCTCAAAGACAGGCAAGAGGCATGAAAGTATCTTCAAGGATTTCCTGATTTTCATCTTCAGGCGGATCTACTCCTTTTGTCTCCTCAGGCTCATGTCCCCCTAGTCCTATTTGATCTGACTCTGATGAAAGGCTTCAGAGTATATTTACCGTGCATCTATATATAGTGTGTGCATACAACTGGGGAGATGAGATTTCCATCCTGTCCGCTCTTGCTGTGGTTCCCGCTGGCTCTCTCTAACTTAAAGAGGACCGTGTTTGGACTGCAAACCCCACAGAGAGTTCAGTTAAGTTGTCAGTTAACCCTGAGTCTCATTAGGGGAAAAAAAGTGAAGGACTTCTTCATTCACATTATACGTGTCTAAGGCTGTTAAATGTTTGCGTTTACATTTTGCTCTTTTAGTCCCAGTGCTTTTGAACTTTATGCTGACACCTAGCACGATATGGGGTGGGCAATATGACCGAAATCTTATTTCATGATATGAGAAATTTTATTTCAGAATAACAATATATATCATGATTTAGTTATATGTTATTTTTTGTTATTAAAAAACAAATTACAAACAACTGGACAAATACAATAAAACAAAGATACAAATTAAATAAACTAAGTTTTAAAGGAGTCATGAACTGCCTTTATTATTTTGTACTGTTCTCTGAGGTCCACTAATAATGTAATCAAGATTTTTACATCAAAAAACATCATAATTTAGAAGTAATCGGCTATTTTCTGTTCTGTTTTGACCCCCTCATCGGAACACTCTGTTTGAATAGGTGTGGCGGATTGTAGAAGTAAATGCCCACTGCTATGATTGGCTAACAGTTGTTTATGTTTGACAGCCTACATCATTCATAGATGGATGCTGCTGTGATTTAGGTTAAAAACGCATAAATACTCAGTACATATCAAACGATCTGTAATAAAGCAATAGTGATCACGTAATAAACACAGTTACTCACACTAGTGTGGTGCGACATTACTGTCGGATACAATATATTCGGCACAGCAACCTCTTTTAGTTTCAGTCTTTCTGAAAATCCTGCATTGAATTGTGCTTTGTTTGCAAATGAATCAGTGGTAAAATGACGTGAACAAAGTACCAAGTTCTTACCGACGAGGTCTGGATCTTCATTAAAAATTAAGTTCATCCACTCTTTCCTAATGTTGGGATCAGAAGGAAGGCAATGCAAAGACTGTTTTTTTCCACAACTTGGCACTGCGCAGTTAACTTCGGAGCCATCTTTATTGTTTGGTTTCTGTGTAGACCTGCGTTTGCCTCTCTCGTTGTTTACCCACCACGTGTGGAATCGGTGGGCGGGGCTAAACAGGCAGTGATGTAGAAGCAGGCGTTGATGATCTTCTGCGGAGGCGGGGTTTAGCCACACTATTATGTCATAAAGTGACACATTCCAGAACCTGTCGTTTTAGCAGATTGGCTTCAATATAAGCTGTTTTTAGACTAACGAGAAAGTTTTGAGTTCTGAAACTTACAGGATGTTTTTAATACCGGTAGTATATTATACCTCTTATATGTCAAAACATCAAGGGAATTTGGATTTCTCAGTTCATGACCCCTTTAATTAATTTAACAGTCAAGAAATACTACAGAAATAATCAAATATAAAAATAAAACTCTGCATATAATTCACTGTAATAATTAAACGTAAATTGTAAATAGATTCTTATTAAAGATAGATACAAAAGTTACTCAGTTAAGAGTAGTGAGTGAATTTGTTTTTCTTTTGTTGTTTGATTAACATTAATGACACAAGCAGCAGCAGGTTTATTATGCTACTGTCACCTTAAAGGGGTTCACCCAAAAATTAAAATTCTGTCATCATTTACTCGCCCTCAAGTTGTTCCAAACCATTCAGACTTACTTTCTTCTGCTGAACACAAAAGACATTTTGAAGAATGTGGGTAACTGAACAGTTGCTTTTCCCCACGGACTTCCATAGTTTATTTTTTCCCTATACTATTGAAGTCAATGGGGACTATCAACTGTTTGGTTACTCAAATTCTCCAAAATGTCTTCTTTTGTGTTGTGATATGGTTTAATTTCCTATGGAGTATGAGCCATATGCAGACTTTTACACAGTGCTTACTCATTCTTCCCCAAGCGTCTTTTTCCGAAGGCTCACAGAAGCTTTTTGAGGCTTTAGGTCAAACATACACCCACGCATCTGAGGGTCGGGCTCCGTAACAGCCTTGATTGTACAATCATTCGGGCCAGTAAGAACTGACAGGAATGCAAATGAAGCTTCTTAATTTCCAAGCCACACACCAACCCCTTACTAAGGTCAAACTCGAGAGACTCACTTGTACGTGATGCCCGCCAAGTTAAGCAGCCGTCTGGAGGCAGTCATTTCTGGAGTGTCATGGTATTTGTCTGACAAATAGATCACATCCTTTATACCTGTAAGGCAAAAACAGCAGAAGGATAGAGTGGGTCAGACAAAAGCACACTTGCACACACACAAACAAACAGACAGAGAAATTTAAACAAACAGGACCAAGGAGAACAGGGACCCAAAATAGCCTGTTAGGGATGAACAAGAGCTTGTGCTCGGGGGAGAAAGAAGGGAAGTCGATAACTTGTCGCTGCAGGCTCAAGCCAATATCAACCAATCCCAACTGAGACCAAATCTGCCCTGCTGGTGTCTTTAAAACACGTGGTGCATTTGGCTGCACCCCCACACATCCTGCTGACTACTCACAAGCGGCCCACATGAGGCGATTCTATAAAGGGCCCCGTTAACCAAGCTTTACAGAGAAATGTGAGGAATCTGGTGAAACCACTTAGACTCCCCTCTTGCCCTTAATGCTTTCAGGAGGTGAAAAGAGAAGTCCAACATTGCCAACTGTTGTTGCAATCGCAGATGAATATACCGGAGAAAAACACACCTACCCCCCAAAATACACACCGTCTCCATCATGTACTTTTATCTGCACAGGAGGAGAGAAGTGCTCTGATCGAAGGCAAAATGACTTGCACAGAGTGAATTCCAGCTGTCATTAAAGGCTGTCATCACAAGCATGGGGCCTCTCCATGGTATTACTTGAACTATTTTTGAGAGGGAACAGATGAAATTACCATGGAGCAGCCTGGCTATGCCATCTTAAAACCATTTTGTTGGTGACATTTTATGGTGCAGAAGGGGGAAAAAAAGACTTTGTATATCCAAGTCTACGGGCTATTTAAAATAAAAAGCAAACACTCAATCATGTCCATAAAATAAATTAAAAAAAAGTTTAAAATGTTCTAACTAAAAGAAAGTCAGAAGAAATTGCAGTAGTGTTTCCATGTAAACACGTCTTTTCATGAAAAGAACATGAGAATAAGCATCGGAGCTGCTTAAAACACTTCCAAGACGACAAGCTGTCCAACAGAAGGGAAGGCTCTGATGGAAGGTGGAGCAGAACTCTGGAGATGCTACGTTTCCAGAATGCTCTCTGGAGATGAGGTGACAGTACCGTCCCTCAGTCCCTCCAAAAACAGTCATAGGAAGTGACAAGATGGCAGCTGCTTGGAAACTGAACACTTTAATTCCTCAGAGAAAGGAGAGGCTCTAAAGCAGTGATTCAGAAACTGACGTGGCTGGCACAGAGGAGACAAAGTGCAGGGGGACATCAACATGGGAGCCAGAGAAAGTGAAAATGATTTGGTGTCATTTCATTCTGTGAGATTGAAAGATGGACACATTTGAACGGCATTCAAAAAGAGCAGGAACACTTTCTCACTGGAGGAATAGCTACAGAATTAGATACAGAGAGGGGGGTACGTGTAATATCTGGGGTCTTCATTTTCTTAATGCCCCCATCTCATTTACTATGAAAAAAAAACTGTAGATAGTGCAGTGGAAAAACTTTCAATTCTGTACAAGAAGAGTTGTCAAATGACCAACACGGCACACATTTAAGTAAGAATACGACTAAGGCAAATGAAAGCAGCGTCTGGCACAAAAATGCATACCGATGGCACCAAAATACTGGAAAAACCTTCATTCTAATAAATCCCTCTGGTTATAATTAAATTATGCTACAGTTTTCCGTTAGAGAAGCACAGACTAGCAATATCAAAAGGTTTACCATGCACAAATGAACAAGATACAGCCCGGTTGCCTTTATAAGAGAATCAAGGTGGATTTGCATTCCAAGTCTACTAATATTCCCCTTTATCCTCATGTTTTTTTCCATGCAGAGGCTTTTCTGTTTCCTCATATCATGGCATGGGGCTTTACAACTTCTACTAAACAAACGTGGCCATAACACCTTCAAAATGAACAAACAGCGATGACACCCCTGACTCAATTCTTTTAAACTCAGCATTCAAACATTAAACATCCGCTTTGTTCTGCTCCATCTGATTGCCATCATCAGAGGGCGTTTTTTAATGAGGTCGGACGTTAATTTTTAGCCGCATTTTGTTGCATCCTATAGAGTGCAAGGAGACGAAAGGGAGAGAAAGTGCTGTGTGTGTGTTCCTTAATGATGCCAGAACATTGAGAGGAAGCTGACACCCCACTGAGAGCTGGGCCAGGGCAAGGCCAAGCATCCTGAAGATCAGACCGCATCGGAGCGTGTGTCATGCTATCTTCAGCACACAGCTTCAGTAGGCTTTGCCACAAGAGTACATGGAGGGGGATCAGGAAAAGCAAACCAAAGAAAGAGAGAAAGAGAAGATGAGGACAAAAAGACTTGGAGGGGAGGAGAGAGACTAGGGATGGGGGTATTAAGAGAGTTCAACAGATAAGAGGAGATTGAAAATAACAACAGAGCAGGGTTTGGAGAAGGAAAAATAAGAGGAAGACAACCTGTCACCATGTAGGCTGTATCCAACCAGCCAAGAATGATCACAAAGAAGATGGCTGCTGAAAGTGATGCCCACTGCAGGCTTCTCAGTATGGAAGGGTGACCATTGAGAACCTCGGTTTCCACCGGTCTTATCCGTCATTTCATCTGCAGCCACATCAGCACTGACACAAAGGCTCAAATATCGGAGCAGAAATGCTGATCCTATGTGTGAAGTGCAAAGACGGAACAGAATAAATGCATAATGCTTGCTATGCAGTCCAATAGGGGTGAAAGGGTTGCCAAAAAAAGTTTGATGCTCAGGGTTCGTACCACATTGCACCTTGTGTCTTTCTCAGAAAAGATAAATATTAAATGTGTTTGAAAAGTGCCTGTTTTCAAGCAGCATAATAACATTAATTCTTGTCGCTAAATCACTGTACTGTTAAGAGGACAAAGAAACCAAACATATGAAACAATGAACTAAAAACAAGTTATTTGATATATCTCAGACTACACTTGAGGCATTTAAGTAGCAGGCGGCATTCGGACTGGGTGAACAATCAATAGGAATTATTTGAGAGCACATGCACGCTCTTAGTCACAATTTACGACACACATGCGAGACAAAGCCAGCTGCATTTTGTTAACTTAAAGAAAAGCTTAAAGAGGGTAAACAGCTCTTTTACTCAAATTATTCTCACTGGAGCAGTGTTGGTGTTAGTATTGAAAATTCTTTATTTTAAATGCACCTCTGGTGTACGTTGCTAGTGCATCAAAGCATTTAGACAAATAGGACTATATGTTCCCGACAGCGTACATTTTACAGCATTGTACATTTTATTAGGGTTGTAATTAGTGGTCGACTGATATATCGCCAAGGCCGATATATCGGCCGATACTTGGCATTTTTCAAATATCGGCATTGGCCGACAAGTTTTTCTGTTTGGCCGATGAGTTCGAGGCGGGACTTTTATTTTGACGGCGCTGAGAGAGGCAGCACCTGCGCACACAGTGTTCACATTCTCCTTTTCCTTCACATTCACATTCTCCTGTCGTCGTTAACAGTTCTGTCTAATATGGACAGAAATCTGTCTAAACTTTAAACTCGTGATTTCAAATTATGCTGCGCTTCATGCTTTTGCCCACTGTCATATTCATGTCATTTTCACTGCGTGCTTTATGTAAAATGAGTGTTACCTTTATTTGAAAAAATATGATTCCCAAATCCCAATACACACAAACTTCCCAGATTACGGAGTGCCCTGTTGGTTACAGTGTTTACTTCCTTTTTAATTATATTTTTATTAAATATTTATTTGTGAAAAATTCTTTGTCATCTAAAGTACAAGTATGTTTATTTTACACATTTATTTTTTAATCCATTTTCAAATGACTTAAAATTTCCTAAATATTAATGAAAATAAATAAAATTATATCGGCCATCCTACTTTCCGAGATATCGGCATCGGCTGTCAAAAAAACAATATCCGTCGACCATTAGCTGTAATGATATTCAAACCGAATATGCGTCCAGAGTCTTCATGTCTAGCACAGTCAAGTTCGCTTGTGCAGCCACTCACAGCCTTTTGTGGAACTGTAAGTTGCAATATTTTGTTTATATAAAATATTGTGTATAGATTATTTATCGCATATGCATTTGGTTGAGTTACGCTGCAGTAAAGCGCTTCATTGTAGGACTACTATGGCGATTATCTCTTCAGCGCGAGCAGCACAAACAACAATGCAGAATATTAATAACTATGAATGGGGCTGTCATATACATAACATTATAATGAGAACACTATTATAGCCTAATAAAACGCTTTTAGAGTTTAGTTGCAGTGTTTCTGCACGTTGTTGCGTGGAGAGCGTGTCCACAACAGGAGTTAAGTTACATATTCAGAGCAGTACAGACACGTTCACTTGTGTATTCGGGTCATTTTGTGCAGATATAAGTCGTAATATTAGGGTTACGTTGTATAAATAACGAAGTGTATCCTATATGAGATAAATCTGAGGAGTTAAATCCAGTTGATTAAAAACCCGCTATCAAAGTACTTCATTGTACTGGTGATCTTCAGCACGCGCAGCTCAAAACAGAAATGCAGAACATTATTAACTATGATTTAGACTGTCAACATAACATTATAATGAGAACAATATTGTAAAAAATGTTGTGAATTCTTAGGGTTAAGCTGACGTTTTCAGTGTGTTATTACAAAAAGCACATCTACAGAAGGACACATTCTGACTACGTAACTTAGTTCAAGTTCACTTGTGCTTGCTTTTGTACAATATAATCAGGGCCTGAATTTCGCTGCGGGATTGCGCGTAATTTTACACATTCTCACAGGTTTCGCTATTATAAAGTGAAAAAAAATTCCCACAAACAATTATGCACTATAGCATGTAAACAGTGTGAGTGATTGGGATTGAGTGGTACCGCGTCTTCTAGTTAAAAGTGAATCTAGTGTTCTTTAGCATTGCTGGTGCCATGCCATGAACCCCACAGCAAACAGAACCGAACCGTGGCTCCAAAACAGTGATCTGAACCGAACCGTGCCATTAGTGTATCGTTACACCGCTAATGGTGACAGGCGGCTTCATCCAATGTGTGGTAAAGGGGACTTTCTGAATTGACATAAGCCAGACTGAAATTAAAAATAAATAAAAAATAACAGAACTAAACTAACAAAAACATGCAACTAGTAATAGCAAAAATATATCAGTAGCAGTTAAAAAAAAAAATAAAAAAAAAACTTTTATCAGTTTGTTGTTGAAATATAAACATTTAAACCGTGGTGAAAATAAAAACTTGTTTTCCAGACAGATTTATTCAAACACACTTCAAATAATGTAAACAAGTACAAAATATAAAGAATATGGTGCATATATTTTGCTAAATTCCCCTCTTTAGCAAAATAAGTTTATAGACACTGAATGGCTTAACTAAGGCAAATGTTACGTTACGTGACATTGTTTACAAGTTTTAAATTACGTCTTTCCACAGTTGAAAGACTGATTAAGCAAATACATGAGATATGATACATTTCAGTAAGTTCTCTCAACATACTTTCTGATGTTAATTCATGTTTATTTAATGCTATATACACTGAACAAAATTATAAACGCAACGCTCTTGTTTTTGCCCCCATTTTTCATGAGCTGAACTCAAAGATCTAAGACTTTTTCTATGTACACAAAAGGCCTATTTCTCTCAAATATTGTTCACAAATCGGTCTAAATCTGTGTTAGTGAGCACTTCTCCTTTGCCGAGATAATCCATCCACCTCACAGGTGTGGCATATCAAGATGCTGATTAGACAGCATGATTATTGCACAGGTGTGCATTAGGCTGGCCACAATAAAAGGCCACTCTAAAATGTGAGCCTAAGGCACACCTGTGCAATAATCATGCTGTCTAATCAGCATCTTGATATGCCACACCTGTATTGAAGAGGAGTGGACCAACATTCCACAGGCCACAATCAACAACCTGATCAGCTCTATGCGAAGGAGATGTGTTGCACTGCGTGAGGCAAATGGTGGTCACACCAGATACTGACTGGTTTTCGGACGCTCCAGGGACCAGCCAAGACTGATCACACCGGTGTGATCGTACGCGTCAAAGGGTTAAAGAGCGTCAAAACCATGTTTATTATTGAAAGCTGAGACATCACTGTTTCTGGTCAACAATTTTGGCCCTCCAAAACTATTTCGTCCAAATCCGTAAGTTGCTGAAATTTTGGTGCATCACCAATTAATCTTCTTAATGCACAGTGGAAATTAAAGTGTTGAATGAAAAACCAACATGCACATCATGAAACACACAGTCAGAAACACAAGTTCAGACAAACTCTCACCTGCTTGAATAATGAGTTTGGCGCACTCGTTACAGGGGAAGAGCGCTACATACATGGTGCAACCCTTGACATCTGCCGAGTTCTTATTCATAATGGCGTTCAGCTCTGCATGGCACACTGCAACAAAACATGTTAGAAATGCAACAAGACTTGTTAGAAATGTTCAGAATTCATGAATGCACATACATGCAGCACAGAATGATGCGTCGATGCTATGATTAATATCTCTGCTTCACAACAAACTTGGATTGAGCTTTCTTAGCTCGTCAACATTGTACCACTCCACCACAAAAAGGCTCCAGTCACCAGTTCACAGTTAAAAAGGAAAAAGATTTCAAAGCATGAGTCTGAACAGATGTCAGCTCTCCACAACATCACCCAGAAAAAGCCCCGTCTAATCACTCATTCTGCTCGCCTTAATTACGGAGAATGAATTGGCCCATCAGCAGTGGCACATTACCATTGCACTACGAAACACGACACGTTTATTTTGGCAGAGCTTCAGCACAAGGCAGAGAAAGAGAGAGAGGGCATGTAGTTATGATGGAAGGGAGATGTCAGTAATTCACACAACTACACACACACACTCATTGTGTGTTTTAACTGAAAGCAGGCACACACACAGCTAAGTGCGAACACATGATGATGATGATGATGAGGAGGAGGAGGAGGAGGAGTACAATCAATTGTGCAAATGTGGGAGGGACTGAGCTCTTAAATCAAATTTAACATTTAATACATGTATATTACTATTAATCTGACTGAACTGTCATATTTAAAAGGTAGTGAAACATTTTCAGGATAAACAACCAGCGGATAAATATCACAGCAGATTATGCTTTATAAATCCAGGGAAGCAGAAGTCATGACTGCAATTTAAATACAATTCATCGAGCAGCCCTATCTGAACAGAACCAACACTGAACTGACTTGAGCTAAATGATGACACAATATCTGAACTCCATCGTTGAGTTTCCATAATTGATTCAGCTATTCATGTCAATCTCTGTGAAGCTGCTTTGACACAATCTGTTTTATATAAAGCATTATAGAAATACAGTTGATTTGACTAGTATGCAAGATATTGTTATTAATGGAATGCAGCAAAATATGGCACAGCATTAACGAACATCATTCTCTCTGGTTGCAGCATATAAGCCTAATCTTCTATTAAAGAATAAGGTGAAAGCAACATTATGTTCACAGGGCAAAAATCAAGTAAGGAAGGAAGGATAGTAAGAGGATTTTTTAGTATTTCAGTACCCTCTAGTAGCACAATACTGTACAGAAACTTCATAAGCAATGAATCACAATAACTATTGCTCATACTTTGTCATTCACAGTATGCTAACTTTTATGCCCATCAAGTTAGCCTCTCTAAAACTTGAAAATTAAAATTTAGCAAAGATGCAAATTGTACTGTTTTGCATTTAAAATTATGGAAATGAAAGTTGTATATTGTACTGCAGATTTTGATTCAGTTATGCCATTAACAATGTTTCACAAAGTCTTGTACTTTTTTCTGTGTTGGGTGGTCTTTGCCTCCATGTTGTGCATTAAAGTTGTGTAATGCACACCAAGCCATGGAATATCCCTTAACTAATCTTCTTATATTTTAATCATAAACATTTATGACACTTCATAAATGAAGCAAAAAAAATGTATGGTAATTATTCATAATGGTCAAAACCCTAAGGCCTGGTTTCACAGACAGGGTTTAGGTTAAGCCAGGATTAGGCCATAGTTCAATTAGGACATTTAAGTAGCTTTTATAAATGTGCCTTAGATAAAAACATTACTGATGTGCATCTTGAGACAAATCAATGGCACTGAAAGATTTTAAGATCAGTCAGTGCAAGTTTCTTTCAGTTAAAACAGCCCAGACATGCATTTTAGTCTGAGACTAGGCTTAAGTCTTGTCTGTGAAACTGGGGGTAAAACTAGAGCCCGACCGATATATCGTTTTGGTGATTTTATCGGCCGATATGATCCTGTCGCAGATATATAGGTATCGGCGAATATGCCGCCGATATGAAATTTTTTTTACAGAACATAAGACGCAGATAAAATGCTTGTAAATGGTGTAATTACGTAGTACGCTCCATTGTTTGCTACTGGCGACCTGGACGAAACGCTTTAAAGCTTAAGTGTATGGAATACCAAGGAAACTTTGAACGGCCATGGCGTGGCGGATCCGCACCAAATTCGGGGGATCCCTTCAGCTCGAGGAACCTTCTCTAACGCTGAATCAAGTGTATGTCTCGAGGCCCCCTTTCGAATGAGACCACCCAACGCGTCGATAGCCGAAAGCCCGGGAGTTAGGTATATTATGTCACTTCACACTTCTCTAGTAAGTTTCGTCTGTGTGTGAAGACAGTAGCGCAAATCCGTGAATGAATGTTCCGAAGTGAAATAAACTTCAACGGAATAAAGTTGAATGGAACTGAATTGAAATAAAGTGGAATAAACTTTACTGTTAAAGGGGTCATATGATGCGATTTCAAGTTTTCCTTTCTCTTTGGAGTGTTACAAGCTGTTCGTGAATAGATAAGATCCCTAAAGTTGCAAAGACTAAAGTCTCAAACCCAAAAGAGATATTCTTTATAAAAGTTAAGACTTGTCCACGCCCTCCTAAAACGCCTTGTTCAAACACGCCCCCACATGTCTACGTCACGATGTGGGAAGATTTGCATAACACCGCCCAAATGTTCACGCAAAGAAAGAAGGCGTCACTTTATTGTTGCTGCCACCGCCGCCGCCATGTTGTGAAGACGCTGTGTGCTTCGTTGCGAAAGCGAAAATACTTTGTTTGGCCTTCCAAATGAGGACACGATTAGAAATCAGTGGTTAAGTTGTATTTACAACACTGTTCCAGAACAGTTCAACCCAAATATTCAGATGTGTGCAGCACATTTTATGGAGGACTGTTTCCTGATCCTGGGAGAGTAAACTGCAATGCCGGCTGTTCTGACTCACAGTCTGAAAGTACATTTTCATATTTAAAGAATTTGCCACTGACGATTCAAACGCGAGTTTTGAGCAGTGTAGAGTTGCACTTGTTGTTTGTCATTTCTCCGATCACAAATGCAGACATGGTTTTATGTTTACGCAG